AAGAGGATAAGAGACAAAGAGACGGAGACAGAGACACCCAGGGGAGAAGGCCATGCCGCGGAACACCAAGGGTTGCCGGCCACCACCAGAAACTAAAAAGAGGCAAGGAAGAATTCTTCCCTAGAGCCATTACAGGGGGCGTGGCCCTGCCAGTGCCTCAATTTCAAACTTCTAGCCTCCAGAACTGTGAAAGGACAAATCTGTGTTGTTCAAGCCACCCAGTTTGTGGTAATGTGTTGCAGCAACCACAGGAGACAAATGCATCTTAAAGAATCCTTTCTCCTTTAGTTGCCAGGCTGTCCTTCTAACTAGTTGTGACGGTAGCCCTCAAGGTATAAGCAAGATGATACACTGTTAAAGTACCTTAGTTTGAATTAAGGAGCAAATAATAAGGTAAAAGAGGTGGCTGGGTTTTGGGACTGTGATTTGAGAAGTCTGGTGGGCCGTCTCTGTGCATGCTGCCTCTGCTGTGAGGGCCTGCCTTTGTTTTATAGGAGCCTTCACAAAATCCTGTTAACCTATTAAAAACTATGCCCTTTGGCCCTTCTCTGGCGGTCTGACATAAGAGGATGAGGCCTCAGTTTCGGTTTTGTTGTTGCAGTAGCTGAAAATGTCTAGTGGAATTACTGTCCCTTCCCTAACCAAGCACGGTGGAGTCCACACATCCCAGGGACCCTCCAAGTGCTGAGTGATGCCTTCTCTTCTCCAATTCCCACTCTGCCTCTTCTCCCATTCCCACTCTGCCTCTGATTTTTTTTAAACCAAAAAATCAGGTTTTAGTCCACGCTTCCCAGAGACCCTCCAAGTGCTGAGTGCTGCCTTCTCTTCTCCCATTCCCACTCTGCCTCTGGTGGGCAGCACACCCAGCCTGAAATGGTAACGTGGGAAGTAGAAAAGTTCCTCTTCAAAGTTTCCTTTCTTATTAAAGAATAATCATAATAAGTGTTAGAAATAAGAGTTTGTTTTAAATACTTTCTTCAAAGCTTTCTTGCTTTTTACTAGTAGCTCTCTGGTAAGCCCTATCCTATGTAGCTGTTAGGCTCACAGGCATGTAGTACATTCTATGTCCTTGTACTTTAACCAAGATACTTGTGCTAGACATGTTTACAGATAGGTAGCACATTCTATGTCCTTGTACTTTAACAAAGATATTTATGCTATTACTTTTCTAAGTCCTTTCCTAAGCAACTTCCTTCCCTTCCTTATTTGGACTTCCTCTTTTCCTTTTGTTCTCCATTGCTTTTACCTGTTTAGAAAAGCTTTAAGTTGTTAGCCAATCATGTTTTAGTTTAGATTGTGAGGTCTGGCTCCAACCAACAGAGATCAGACACAGTGGTAAGGATGACCCCAAATGCATAAGGGATAAATATGTCTGCTTTTCCTTTGCTTGTTGTACTCTCATGGCAAGACTGCTGGTGAGTGTAACCTTTCTGCAAGAAGTAAAAATTGCCTTGATGAGAGATCCTTTGTCCCAGTGCTGACTTTTCTTTGCGGCACTGAAAATTTACATATAACAGTAAGAACTGTTATGACTCTCTTACGGACTAGGAACCTTCTGACACTCGCCCCCACAGAGTCTAGGAAGTGATAGGAATAGGTCACGAGCTGTTGCTTCATTCATTTCAGAACTGTTGTCCTCAAACAATTCTACTCAGAAAAAAAGAAACTCATTCTTACCTAAACTTTCAAAATTAGGCAATGAATCATAACCCTAGGGTTCTGGTTCCAAGACCATACATTCCTTCTTTGAGTATCCATACAGTCTCCAGTAATTATAGGCTTTCTCTTTCCACAAAAGGTATTTTAGGGAAAGGATCTGAAATTTACACTTGGATTTAAAGCCTGATAACAACTTAATACGTTACCTTTCACTTCCAGCAATGCTTTTAGTTAATTCTTTTGTCCCCACTGCACCCCAGGTTAGCGGGTTAGTGAAGCCTTAGGCCAGGCCTTCAGAGGGAGGATTCCGAAACACCTGCAATTCCTAGCATTTCCCAGCAGATGGGGCAGTCCTAAGATTGCCCCACACGTGCAATTGTCCTATCTTCCCCAGAAGCCAGTGTTGACCTGGATTATGACTTATAGAGGGTGGGTGTCAGGGAAGGAGGGCAGTACCAAAATAAGCACTGGTATTGCACAGATTCTAGGGGAAATAATCTTTCTGGAGTTTCCAGGAATCTGTGATTACCTGAACTGTTAGCACCAAATCTTGTAGCCAAAAATAGCAGCCACACAGGCACCAAGATAGTATTTTTAGTAGCTTGCTAGCCTGCTATGACTCAGAATTATCGGTAGAGGCCAGGCACGGTGGCTCATGCCTGTAATTCCAGCACTTTGGGAGGCCAAGGCAGGTGGATCACTTCAGGTCAGGAGTTTGAGGCCAGCCTGGTCAACATGGTGAAAACCTGCCTCTACTAAAGTTAGCTGGGCATGGTGGTGGGCTTGCAGTCTCAGCTATTTGGGAGGCTGAGGTGGGAGAATTGCTTGAACCTGGGAGGTGGAGTGAGATGAGATCACCCATTGCACTTTAGCCTGGGCAACAGAGTGAGACTCTGACTCAAAAAATAATAATAATAAAAATACATTAAAATTTTTTTAAAAAAGAAAAAGAAAACCCGTCAACTATTATCAACTATCTGTGGAGCTTTGGAAAGTGCTGGCCATGGTCCCGCACATGGGGCGCACTGCCAGAAATGTGGTGGGAGAGGATGAAATTGAATCATGGTAATGGAAGCTGCTGCTTCTGCTTCTTGAAGCTTTATCTAAGCATCTGCCTGGCGGGCACAGAGCCTGGTCAACTAACTCATGTTGGTGCAAGGCACTTCTTGCTGGATAGTCTTCTTCAACTAGACAGGCACAGGGCCTTCCTGGTCGTCACCTCAGTTACCTCTGTCTCCATGGACTTATTTTTGTTCTTAGAAAAAAAATTATTACTGCTACTCTCATCCAGTTAACTTCCAACTTCAGTAAAAGCCCAATATGTCAGAATATACTAACCCAGATTATTGTATCAACCTTCCCTTATAAAAATAAATATATTCGGTTTCTAAACCTTGCTCTGCAGGTTAAAAGCCTGTTTAGAGAAGAAAAAAAGCTACGTGAATGCAGCTACTTTTATTGGAAAGTTTACCTATGGTGGTGAAAAGCTCGCAGCCCAAGGAAACAAAGTGAGAAAAATGCAAATGCAAGTGCTGGGAGGGACCAAGTGGCCAGGGCAAAGCCGATCCATTCAATGATCTCACCGAAGAAATTGGCTCCAGAAACATACGTAAACATGCCACCTGTGTGCAGAAGAATTGGAAGGTCAATCATTGCAACTGAATCACTGTGACATTAAACCCCTCTGTGTTGCTCCAAAATACACAAAGGCACAAAGAACAAATGTGGGGCTGGAGACTCCCTCCATAGTCTTAGAAGTTTGGTGGAATCCTCTTGGAGAGAAGGGGAAGCAAAGCAACAACAGCCTGTTGCCTGGAAAACATTCCGGAGTTGCGAAGAGTGGCCCCAACTGCTCGATGGGCTCTATCCAAATCTCTAACAACTGCTGGACCACTAACTTTGGGTAGGACAAGGGAGAGGTGTGGGAGGTCTGGGTTTTGTATCATTCTGTTAAGGAAGGGGCCACCTCTTACCTCCCCACTTCTTTCCTGGACACACTCACACTGTCACATTCACAGTCCCAAAACATGAAACTGCGTGCTACATTAAAATAATACAAATCTGAACTTATGGGAGAAGGAATTTAGATTCTCTTTTGGGATTTGCCCCTCCCCACCCTTCTGCAAAGCACTCTACTCTGTTCCTGTTTAAAGTATTGAGTAGGAGCTACAGGTATTTGTCCTGCTGGAGGCTGGTGAGATTGGCTTCTTGATTTTAAATGTTTCATTTTCTGTCCAACCAGGTATTTCTTCTCTCAGAACTGTATCTAGAAATCAACATATTTCTAATGATATTAAATATATCCACACTCAAATTTTATGACCCACATTAAACTAGGGAAGTTTCAACCAAAACAATTTTGTTCTTTCTATAGTTATGTAAAAATACTTTGTTTTTAAATCATTCTCTATTATAAATCAAAAGTTGGGAACTAATCTTGGCAACTGGTTTTTAAGCTCTTTCTCTGCTCTTCTTTATTTATCTAGTTATGGAGTGAATGTTTTTAAAATCTAAGCTCCTTAGAGTTGAATATTTCTTGAAAATAAGATTGCATCAGTGGTTCCCAACCTGCTATTCTCTAGGCCCTGGGAGGAACCATAGATCTAGTGCAAAGGATCTATAAATCATTTATGAATACAGTAAATAGCACATCTTAACCTACTAAGTTATTTTTGTTTGATGTATATACTGTTAGGATATTAACAACATTCAAATTCATTTGAATATGTTACTGAATTTATAGGAACTTTGTCATTAATTTCTTATTCAATTACTATTAATGTGCACTAACATCATGTCATAATTGAAGCAATTTTGGGATGTAAATAAAGGATTGTATTTCCATCAGAAAGGGTGGAAGCCACAGACCTACACAAATACCCATCTAAACCTATTGAAGGATTACTTGGACTGATTCACTCCTATCTGCGTATATTTATCAATCTCTTAGCTTGGTTTCTTTGGAACAGTTAGGATTACAAATATGCTGCAAAAATGCACTTGTGCTTTTCTATCTCCAAAAATGAACTTGTGCATGTAAGACCTCCCATCCTAAGTTTTGATCAAGTAAATATTGTTCTCTACACCTTTAAGAGTATACAAGCGGCAGGAAATACACATATTCTACCCTTAACTGCTCATAAGACAAGCCTAGATCAATTGGAGGGGACACATTAATTGGCCAAACATTCAGCAGCATTTGCAAACCTAGAAAGGTTGAGCCCTCTGTACATGACAATCTTACCTACTGCAATGAGGTTGTAGGTAGCCGATTCTAACCCTACTCAAACCTCCCACTCTCTCCCACCTTCCGGGTATTGCAGTCTCACAACTTCCTGAGGGCTCTGGTAGCTCTCTGGAGCTTCTGGGTTCAGATCAGAAGAGCAGTTGCGCTGTGATGGGACTGGGTATGCAGGGGAAGTCAAGAGCAAGCTGAGAGCCATTGCATCATCTGTGCCCTCACTGTGTCTCTCCATCTGCTACCATAGTGTCATTCTTGAGACAGGCTCCAGGAAAGAATGGGAGTCTGGGGGCAGGAGAGGCATTACCTTGTGGAATCCTATAGATGATTTCTCCAGGCTTCCTGAGCTGGCACAATATGTAGTCACTATGAATGTTGATTCCCATTCCCAAAAGAAATAAGAAGACACCTTGACAAAGGAGAGAGAAAAGAGAATTTCTTTTTAAATGTGTGCAGATTTGGGTGCTTTTTTTCACAAGCTAAGCTAAAATGAAAAAGGGGCATTTAATTCCTAATAATGAAGGGAGGTGCATTTAATTTCTAAAGAATTGTCCTAAGACATGGCAAAAAGCAGGGAGGGCAATGAGTCCTAGTTCTGAATGGGGAGCAGGTGTGCTGTTTCCTAGACTCAGGCTGAAAGTGCACAGTGGCACCACCGATGGAGACAGACAGGAAGAGAGAGGAGAGCAGGAGGCAGCACCATTGACCAGTATTCAAACAGATAAACAAATAAATGAACGGATCATAATAGTTAGCCTTTAGCACATTCACAGTCAAATCAAGGTTGCATATCTCAACAGCCAATTCCAGCCCCTTTTCCTTTGCCATCTCCCACTACAGAGGTTGAACTGAGAAAGGTGGTCACATGAGCTAGTTTCACCAATAAGATGTAAAGTGAAGTCTCGGTGAGGGGACTTCCTTGGCAATTGTTTGCTTTGCTGATAAAAAGGTGCAGGCAAGACCAGTGCCCCTACTTCCTCCTTCTTCCTGTCTTGATTGCCGGATGTAATGCCTTGAGCCTCAGTCACCGTCTTTCAACCATCAAGTGACTAACAAGAGGACCATAGGTAAACATGCTAAGAATAGTGGAGACAGAAAGTGCCTGAGTTATCCATGGTGTCGGTAAGCAACAACAGGAATGCAGAAGCCACCTACTTTGACACTTCTTGTTATGTAAGAACTATGAATTCTGAATGATTTAGTCACTATTGTTTGGTTTTCTGAGCGCATTCCTGACTGAAACACTCACTCTCATGAAAATAACGTGAGCTCGTTTGGAGGGCTTGGCCACTAACAAACTAACTCCCACCACTGACAGTTCACACACACACACACACACACACACCCTGACATACTACACACACTGTTCACATCTTTATTTATTTTACTTAGCCACGTATCCTGGAGTTGTCTCCACGTGCACTATCCACTGGTACAGAAAGGGCCTTGTTCTGAGGTGAGGAGAGCCAGGATCAGGATGCTAGATCCTGCATCCACAAGGGCATTATTACAGCCCAGAAACACCCACTGTCCCACATAGAGGTCCAACCCGACCTCCCAGCAAAGCACATTTGTGCTTTTCAAAATATATTAGGCAAAAAGCAAGAACAGTTTAGTAAAAGCGATCAGGTCTATTCTCGCCTTATTTGATATAAAACAAGGATTTCCCACCTTGTCTAGTCAAAAGATCATTGGCCTGGAAGAAAGGGTATCTGAGGAGGGATGGTAGAGGAGCGGGGAGGGGAGGGTTACAGCACACACAGCAATGGAGAAAAGCAGGGACCTGGGACCAGCTGTCTGTGTGTCCTTGAGCAAGTCCCTTCAGCTCTCTCAGCCTCAGTTTCCTCATCTGTAAAATGTAAATTCTAACAGTACCAATCTCACAAGAATGGTATGAAGACCATCCATGCGTTCATTCCATCATTCATTTATTCACCTAATATTAATTGAGAGCTTACTGCATGCCAAGCACTGTCCTAAGCACCAGAGTTACAGAAGTGAGAAAACAGTCAAGGTATCTGTGGCCATGCAGCTTACATTTTAGTGGAGGGACACAGACATGAATTTTTAAAAAATTAAAGTAAAAAAAAATCACATAATAATCACTGCAAGGCAGAAAAATCAAAGTAGGGTCATGAGACAGAGAGTAAAGTGGGGTGGAGACTGTCTCTATTTTACATGAGGTAGCTAAGGGAAAGTTTTCCTGAAGATTTGACATTTGTCCTGTGATTTGAATCATGTGAATGCAAAAAATCTGAGGGACAACAATCTGGTAGGGGGACAAGAAAGACAAAGGCCTGGTTCACCTGAAGCTTGAGGACACAGTGGGCTGGAGGAGACGGGGACAGGATGTTAAGTAAAAAGCCACAGCAAGTATTCTAGGCCTTGGTGAAGGGTTTGCATTTTTAGGTGACGTAGGAGGTCCTTGGTGTTTTAAGCAGGAGGGAGCTGGAGTCTGATTTCTGTTTATTATTATTGCAAAAGAAATAAAAATGTTGTATAGAATATTGAACAGTAATTAGCAGACATAAGGAAACCAAGATACTTATTCCTACCACACACAAATTGCTACTGTTAAACACTTTAGTGCCTATCCTTCCAGATTTTCATCTTACTCAATATTCAGGCCATATTTCAAATTCCTCAGATATCTCCCAAATGTCTACTTAAAGGTGGTTTGTGCAAGCCAAAATCCAATATAGGATTATGCCTAGCATCTGCTAGTTACGTCCAGGCTTTTGTAATCTAGCTCAGATCCTTGGCTTTTTCTTCCAGGACACTGACTTGTTGAAGAGATCTGGCAGTTGTCCCTTAGAATGTCCGTTGTTTTTTTTTTTTTTTTTAATACGACCAGCTTATTTCCACTGTATTTCCTGTAAAATGGCATAAGCCATTTTTCTATGTGGTTATATTAAAAGCTTAATATACAGATAGGTACATTTGTGTTTTTGTTCTCAAGTTCAGGAAACTTTTTTCAATTTAGGATTTAAAAAAAAAATAAGTAATGAAATTTCATAATTCAAAAGACAAACTATATTGAAGGAAAAGCTCTGCCTGCCCACTCTGCCCCCTTTACCCTGAGATATGTAGGGAAACTTTTTATTAAGTTTTTTACAATTTCAATATTTCAATTTCCAATTATACACAGCAACACACACTATCCTTCTATTCCATTCCTACGTAAAGTAGCATACACTACTTGCTACTTATAAATGTGTAGCGGGCATTCTATGCATAAGTTATTTGTTTTTATTTAAACATAGATTCTGGAGGTGTCTCCACATGAACACACAGAGATCTTGGTTTGCTTCGATTTTGTTTTTGTGTTTCTTTCTTTGTGTTTGTGGTCACAGAATATTCTATGCATATACCAGTACCACACAGCTAATCCTCTGGTCATTTGTGTTTTCAAATGTTCACTGTGACTGCTTTGTGGAGAAAACAGTGCACAGGATGGAATGGAGGTAGAAAGTTCAGCTTGGAAGTTATTTTGGAAGACCAGGCAAGAGGTGATTGTAGCATGGACTAGGATGAAGTAATTTAGGGAGGAGTGACCCCAGCGGGCACATGTTTTAGAGGGAGAGCCAGAAGTACTAAGCTGATGGAAGGAATGTGATGTGTGATTCTAACAGGAATTAAGCATAATTCCCACTATCCTATTATTTTTTCATTTAGGCCAAAATAGTGTAAAAAAAATGAATCTTCCTGGACTTTAACTCCACTTAAAGAAAATGAAAAAAAAAAAAAAAAAAACCAAACAAAAAAAAAAAAAAAAAAAAAAAAAAAAAAAACTCAACAATCAGTGTCTTCAACTATTTTAGATAGGGTGGTCAGGAAATGTCCCTTTGAGGAGGTACAAATTGTTGAAGATCTAAATATAGTGAGGGACCAATCCCATGAATATATGGGGACAAAGCCTTCTAGGCCAAGGTTGTCCAACCCACAGCCTGTGGGCCACTTACAGCCCAGGACGGTTTTGGATGCAACCCAATACAAATTCGTACACCTTCTTAAAACATTATGAAATGTTTTTTAGCTCATCAGCTATTGTTGGTGTTAGTGTATTATACGTGTAGCCCAAGGCAATTCTTCTTTTACCAGTGTGGCCCAGGGAAGCCAAAAGACTGGACACCCCTGTACTAGGCAGAGGGAGAAGTCCTGAACAAAAACACTGGGGCAGGAAAAGCTTGACAGGTTCTGGCACAGCAGGAAGGCCATTGGCACAGGAGCACAGAAAAGGAGGTGGAGGGAGCCAGGAAAAGAGGCTGGGAAACTGGAACGACCAAAACGTTTAGGATTTATAGGCTGCGAGAAGAAATTTGTATTTTATCTTGAGAGTAAAAGAATTCTACTGGAGAGTTTTGAGATAGGAAATGGCATGATACGTATTTAAACAATCCCTCTGGCTACCATAGAGAGAAAAGACTAAGGTAGGTGTGAGGGGGGTGGACGATGAGATCATTAGGAGGTTATTACAGTAGAGAGAGGCCATGGCCACATAGATTGTGGGAAGGGTTGTTAGCTGGGGAGTAGGTGAGAGTGGCCAGATTCACTTACCCAAGCTAAATCGTATGTCTGTGTACCACTCATCAGGGTATTCAGCACAGTAAATCAGGTAGTAGCCTTGAAGGAATCCATTTCCAGCACAGAAGGCAATGCCTTGGAAAATGAGTAGAACTGGATAAGGCCTCCCTCGACTGAGCAGTGGGTAGACAAATGTCCTGGAACACATGGGAGGAAAGGTTAAGATCCATTGTTCAAAAAGAAAACAGTCAGACAATAAGAGGAAAAGGTTTCAAACAGATAACCATATCAAACCCATTTTTACAACTGTTTTCCGTTACGTCTGTGGAATGAAAGTACATTATTATCTGGTTCTAGAACAACAATGTATGCTATAATTTGGCCCTTTTCATTAAAATTTATAGTAGCCACAATTAAGTATCTTATTTTAATCTCACAACACCCTTGAAAGGTGAGTATCATCCCCATCCAGTAGTTAATAAATTGAATTTTATGAGCTCAGGATTGGAGAGCAGCTTTCTATAAACCTAGAAGTGAAATCTAGTTTATATTAGAAGAAAGGTAAAGCCTGGTTTACGCCAAAAAGTGGAATGGCATTTTGATAGCAACCACTTAGCCACATGGCTTTCCATAATGTTTTTCTGATATGATTAGTTACTGATATTATGCATTCCCAGAAAGTGGACTGCAGGGTCCCTTGAGAAAAGACACACCACACACACACACACACAGAGAGAGAGAGAGAGAGAGAGAGAGAGAGAGAGAGACAGAGAGAGAGAGAGAGAGAGAGAGAGACCCATCTAAATATAAGAAACTATTAATCTGGAGGAATCTAGGAAGAAGGGCTTAAAAAATATAAATACCCCCCAAATAAAAATTTACCTAAGATATAATACTAAAGACTAGACCACAATCTATACCATAATCTGTACCCCCTTTATGACTGTTCTTCCCTTATGGTGCCATATAACAGTTCTACAGGAAAGTTCATAGTGAATGAACTTTTGTTCATTGCGAATAGTTTTTGTGAATAGTTTAATAATTAACTATCAAATAAACAGCCCCATAACCAGCAATGAATTAAAGAAACATAACAATGCCATCACTCAGAAACCTCTCATGTGTCCCTTCCTGTTCACAGTACCACCATCACCCCGGAGGTAACCACTATATGAGGATTTAGTTTTTAATAATTTTTCCTTTCTTTCTTTTTTTTTTTTTTTAATAATTTTAGCACATTTGGGAGCTTTCCTAAAAATACAGTTTATTTTGCTCATTCTTAACTCCGTAAGAGTGGAATCATACTCTGATTCTTAGACTATTCTTTAACACCTATTTCTTTAACTCGTCACTCTGTTTGTGAAACTCAAGCATGCTGTTGTGTACAGCTATATTTGGGTTGCTTCCTGAATGTTCATACCTACTCTGAGATTATTTTGCTATAGCTCCCAACTTTCCCATAATTTGAATGATTTCCTTTTTATGTTTAGACATTTGATATATCTGGAATTTCTTTTGTTCTGAGAAGTTAGATAAGAAGTCAACTTAATTTTTTTCTGATGTTAGTAAATTTACTAAATGTCTCTTTCCCTACTGATATGCATTACTGTTGGTTATTATACCCTAAATTATTATATGTATTGGTTCTTTTACTGAGTTCATGGTTCTGTTCCATTGATCTATTTATTGCCAATACCACACTGTTTCAATCATTGTAATTTTAAAACATGTCTTAATTTTGATTGAACCTATTCTTACATTACACTTTTTGAGATATTTTCAAGTCCACAATAGGTAAGTCCTTAGAGACAGAGAGTAGATTAGTGGTTGCCAGGGGCTGGGGCAGGGAGGAGTGACAGTGACTGATACAGGGTACAGAATTTCTTTTGGGGGTTGATGAAAATGTTCTGGAATTAGATTGTGGTGATGATTGCACAACATTTTGAATATACCAAAGCCCACTGAATTGTACATTTTTAAATGGTGGATTTTATGGTGTATGAATTATATCTCAATTTTTAAGTTAATTGAGGGAAAATTCAGGCAGTGTTGTATAGGGGTTAAAATTTAGGGTCTTGAACTTGCTGCATGACCTTGTCACTTCACTTCATTGTGTCTGTTTCTTCATCTGCCCACCTTATAAGACCAGGCCATGAGGATTAAGATGAAAAGTGCTCAAAACAGGCCAAATAAGAGAGCACAGTACATGTGTATATTGTTGTTGTTACCTTTATTATGTTGTGGTTAACATCACCTTTCTGTTCAGGTGCAGGTTGTACCTTTCTACTTATTCAGATCTTTTCAGTCTCTCAGTAGGTTTTAAGGTTTCTTCACCGCTGCACATTTTTTTGTTATTTTTAATCCCAGATTTCATACTTTTTTTGTTACTGTACGTGAGATTTTCCATTTACATCTTTTAACTGTTTGTTTTACATGTAAAGGAAGACCTTTGATAGTATTAATTTTGTTCTCAGTCCTACCCTGAATTTCCTTATTTATAATCATTTTTCAATTTATTTTCTAGAATTTCTGCAGCACCTGAAAATAATGTTTGACTCTTCTCTTAGAAAGAATCTCAACATCTTCATCTTTTGGCCATGCTCTTGAATGACATAAATAGCATTAGCATTACCTTGTCTTTAAAGATTTTGAAATCCATCTAGAACTGTTTTATTGGAAGGAGAGGCTGTTGATATTTGTGATGGCTCATCTTACCTATCAACTTGACTGGACTGAAGGATACCCAGATAGCTTGTACAACATTATTTCTAGGTGTGTCTATGAAGGTTTTTGCAAAAGACATTAGCATTTGAACCAGTAGACTGAGTAAACAAGATCCACCCTCAGCAACATTGGAAGGCATCATCCAACATTTTGAGGGCCCTAATAAAACAAGACATCAGAGGAATGGTGAATTTATTCTTTTTGCTTGAGATGGAACATCCATCTTCTCCTGCCCTGAGATATCAGAGCTCCTGGTTCTCAGGTCTTTTGATTCTGGCACTTACACCTACTCACTCCTCTCCTTCCAAAACCTCCTGATTCTCAGGCCTTCGGGCTCAGACTGAATTAGACCACTGGCTTTTCTGATTTTCTAGCTTGCAGAAAATATGTCAGGGGACTTCTTGGCCTCCATAATAGAGTAAACCAATTGCCATAATAAATCCCTTGTATATTTATACATCCTATTAGTTCTGTTTCTCTCGAAAACTCTAATACAATATTATTGACAATAAGATCTCTATTTGTCTCATGGTAATTGGTTTGTGTAGATTATGTCTTCAGGGACATCTTATGAATTCTGGAAAATTTATGTTTTCATAGAAATAGAAGGTCATTCTTATTATTCAAGTTTTTAAATGTATTTGTATAAGACTGACAATATAATATCTTATGAAATTTTTTAATTGTCAGTATATTTTCTTATTACCCCAACAGCACAAGTATCTGCTATGCTGCCCTTTCTTAGTTACAGCCATATGCCCTTTCCCAACCCCTAGTAATCACTTTCTGTTATCTCTTTCTATATTTTTATCATGTTAAGATCCTCTAAATAGAATCACACATATGTAACTCTTGTAAACTGGCTCTCTTTATGCAGTGTCAATTCCCTCAAGATTCATCCAAGTTCTGTGATATATTTTTAAACAAAAAAAGAAATTTGAAAAATAGTATATATATAGTGTGCTAATCTTTTGTAATCCAGAAAGGGAAGTTGTAAAACATACATATGTATTTGCTTCTTTTTTATAAAAGTATTATCAAGATATAATTTACATACATAAGATTCACTCTTTTGGGTATTCAAAAGAATATTGACTGTAGTTAACTGTAAACACTGAATAAATAGAGATCTATAAGTTGATAATGATACTTTTAAAAAGATGTTAAGACATTTGTTAACATTGGAGGTGACAACTATTATACTAAATTCTTACTCTGATAAAATGTAACTAAAAGGATAATTAAGTATTTATCCTATATCTCATGTTCCCACCTTCTTAAAAGGAACTATAATCCATATCTTTAATTAATAAGTGAAACCTTTTCTTTTTGGAAGGACAGCAACTAATATATGGAAAACTAATTTTAAAGTTTGAAAAACAGGATTCCAAAGTATTATCCCAGAGATTATATGCTGATAACAAGAGAAAACAATTTTATAATGGTGGGCTCTATAGGTCATTATTTCAACAAAATGACCGAACTTGGCACCACTGAGAATGGGAGAATTCATTATTACATACCTCCTGGTATGATGCACCATGAGTTCTGCAGCATCACCAATGAAGTGTTCTTGCCAAAACTGTAACCTGAATCTAATCAAAACCTTACAACTAACTTTCACTAAGATGAAAAAGAGGAGATAGAGTGAAAATTTAATTGGCACCAAGAGGAAAAGATAAATTCAGAGTATGAGATATTCTATTACTGGCCCTCTTCAAAAAGTCACTGTCATGGTTAAAAAAGATATATGAGGGAGAACAGTCAGTTCTAGATGAAAAGAGATGCAAAAGCAATAGCCCTTAATGTATGATGTTTCAATATATCTTTTCAATGTTTTGAAAAATTAGCTATCAATAACATCTGGAAGAAAAGGCAGTTGAGGAAATCTGAATATGAATTGGATACCAGATTGTTATTGATGGCAGTGGCCACTCCAGATATCTTGCTGCTGCCATCATGCCAGCTGCAACAGGAAGGCATAGCTGGGGCTGCACACTCCATGGAGCCAGAGGGAGCATGGCCCCTTCTGAGTTGGAGCAGGAGCTCCCTGGGTACTGCTGCAGCTGCCCAAACCACGGCTGCAGACCCAGGCTTCTCACTCCACAGAGCAGGCAGGAGCACCACTCTCCTGGGTGTAGCTGCCCAAACTGCAGCTGCAGACTCAGGCATCCCTGCACTCTTGGGGGCCCAGGAAGGACCCCCTGCCCTCAGAGCCTAAGAAGTGCCTTCCCCTGCTTCCTAGTTTCTCCCTGCTGAAGGCACTCTCTCCCACCTCCAAGCAAAGTCTCAGCTGAGCCCTGGGACCATGAATGGCAGCAGGAGGCAGATAGATTCCTGGGCAGATGAGAGTAGGTCCCTGGAAAGGCCCCACCTTCAGGCCAGGGAGGGCCTGAAAGCTGCAGGCCAAATGGCCAGACCCACGCCAATGGGAGTGGGGACTTGTGGTGCCTCTTCTGCACCCAACCATGGA